AACCTATAAAATAGCACAGAGAATATTATAATAAATCCCATATAACCATCATCCAGCTTCAATAATTATTAGTGTATGATCAACCTTGTTTTTTTCCTTTTTAAAAAAATTTTATTTAGTTATTTTTCAAGTACAGTTTTTGTCTATTTCTCCCATCCCATCCCCCCCGCCCCTTCTCCCCACCTCCCTCCCACTTCCTCCCCCCTAGTCCTCATCCCTGTGTCTTTCACACTTGCTCCTCAAAATCCCTCCCCTTTTCCCCCCTTAAATTCCCTTCCATCTCCCCTCTGGTCACTGCCCACTTGTTCTCTATTTCAGTGTCTTTGTTTTTATTCTGTTTGCTTGTTTTATTTGTAACCCCCATACCTCAAGATTATTTTGAAGCAAATCCTAGACATGAAATCATTCCACATAATGATCCCTTAGAAACATAAATCAAATCATGTCACTTGCCTGCTCAAAACCTGTCAATTCCCATACCCCACCCCTGATTCCCTGGGTTAAACTCAGAGTAAAATCAAAAGATCTTATGTGGGCTCTGAAAAGCCCTGCAGCAGGAGCTAGCAAACTATGGCCCAGAGACCAAATGCAGCCAGTTGCCTGTTTTTGTGTGGCCATGAGCTAAGAATGGGAACTAAGGATGGTTAGAGGGAAAAAATAAAAAAAAATACTATATATTTCATGATACATGAAAATAACATTAAAATTAGAGTCCACAGATGGAATTTTATTGGAACATAGCCATATTTCATTTGCTCATGTATTGTCTATGGCGGCCTTTGTGGCAGAGTTGAATACCATATTTTTGGACTGTAAGACACACACCCCATTTGGGAGGAAAAGAGGGGTGCGTGTTATAGTCTGAAAAATACAGTAGTCATGACAAAGACTGTGTAACCTGCAATATTTACTATCTGGCCATTTATAGAAAAAAATGGCCAACTCCCGCCCCAATCAATCAAGTCCCCATGTAATCTCTCTGACCTTCTCTTTCTGCATACTCCATTCCAGTCTCATTGGCTTTTTTCCTGTCATTCAAACAGGCTAGACACACTCCTACCTAAGGGGTTTTGTTTTGGCTGATCCCTCTAGCTGGAACATTTTTAGCCCAAATATATGCATAATTTTCTCTTACCTTCAAGTCTCTGCTCAAATGTGACCTCTACAACAAGTCTTACTCTGAGCACTCCATTTAAACTTGCAATGCACGCTTATTGCCCTACACTCCTCATTTGCTTATGATATTCCACATATTTCCTTTCCATAGCCCTTACCACCTTCTAATGTACTGTTTAATATCTGTTGTATATTATCAATTTCTCCCAACTAAAATGTAAGTTCCATGGTTCTGGTTCATTTATAAATCCAAAGTGCCTATAGGACTTCTGCCAAGATGGAGGTATAGGTGGATGTGCCATGCCTTCTCACACAACCAAGAATAGAGAAAACTAAATATTAGCAACAGAAAACACACCCAGAACACGGAAAATTGAACTTTTCGGAAGTCCGTTAACAACAAATTCTTCAGCCTGACCGGTAAGGGGCGAAACCAGCGGCTGGCGGAGCAGGGTTGCACAGGAGGACTCGGCCAGACGGACTCAGGGCCGCGGAATCCAGGCACAGGGTCGGACCTAGTGAGCGACCGAGCGAGCCACCAGGCGAGCGACCGCAGGGGGAGACAGCGGGGCTGCATGTTGACTGAGGTCGCGCATTTGTGCGCGGGTGGACAGGTGAGGGAGTGGGCGGTTGGACCGGGCCAGCGGGTCCCCACAGCAAGCGGCAGTGGAGGGCGCCGCCATTACCCTGCTCTGACCCCACCTCCACATACAGCGTCATAACCCAGCGACGCTGAGTGGCCTGGCCCAGGTGAACCACCTAAGGCACTGCTCCTCCGCACCCAGCTGTGAGAAGCGGCAGAGGGGGTCGCCATTTCCCAGCTCTGGCCACGCCCCCACATACAGTGTCACAACCCAGCGACCTGGGAATCCAAGGCGCCGCTTCTCACAGTTAAAGGGCCCGAACAGACCAAGAATGGCGCAGGAGGATCTCAGAGCCCCAGAGCCAATAGATGTAAGTGATGAAGAAATAGCAAAACTCACAGACGCACAGTTTAAAACACTGGTGATCAGGATCCTCACAGAACTGGTTGATTATACGGACAAATTAGAAAAATATATGAAGGCGAAACTAATTGAAATGAATGGAATTGCACAGGACACCAATAGCAATGAAAAGGAAACTGGGACTCAAATCAATGGAGTGGACCAGAAGAAAGCAAATAATGGCCAAACAGAAAAGAGTCAAGAAGCAAGAATTCAAAGAAATGAGGAGAGTCTTAGGAACCTCCAGGACATCTTTAAACGCTCCAACATCCAAATTATTGGGGTACCAGAAGGGGGAAAGGCACAGCCACCAGTGGAAAACTTATTTGAACAAATAATAAAAGGAGAATTTCCCCAATCTGGCAAAGGAAATAGACTTCCAGGAAATCCAGGAAGCTCAGAGAGTCCCAAAGAAGTTGGACCCAAGAAGGAACACACCAAGGCACATCATCATTACATTAGCCAAGATTAAAATGAAGGAGAGAATCCTAGAAGCAGCAAGAGCTAAGGGGACAGTCACCTATAAAGGAGTCCCCATCAGACTATCAGTGGATTTCTCAAAAGAGACCTTACAGGCAAGAAGGGGCTGGAAAGAGGTATTCCAAGTCATGAAATCTAAAGACCTACAACCAAGATTGCTCTATCCAGCAAAACTTTCATTTAAAATGGAAGGACAGATAAAGTGCTTCTCAGATAAGATCAAATTCAAGGAGTTCATCATCACCAAGCCCTTATTATATGAAATGTTAAAGGGACTTATCTAAGAAAAAGAAGTTAAAGAAACATGAACAGTGAAAGGACAACAAACTCACAGTTATTAACAACCACACCTAAAACGAAAGCAAACTAAAAGGACAGCTAGATCAGGAGTGGAAACATAGAAATGAAGATCTCAAGGAGGGTTAGCAACAGGGGAGTGGGAGGAGGAGAAGGGGGGGGAGAAGGTACAGAAAATAAGTAGCATAGACAGTAGATAGAAAATAGATGGGGGGCAAGAATAGCATGGGAAATATAGAATCTAAAGGACTTGAGACACATGGTCATAAACTAAAGGGAGGGTAATGGTGGGGATGAGGGGTAGGGTGGAGGGGAATAAAGGGGGAATAGAACAACTGTAACAGTATAATCAATAAAAAAATAAAAAAAGAACAAAAAAAAGTGCCTATAACAGTGAGTGTCTGGTATACAATGAGGCAATCGAATATTTGTTGAATAAATTTAATTCCTTATCATCAAAATTTTAAGAATATTAATTTGGTAAGATCTTTAAAAAATGCAGAATCTAAACTATAAGTGTAATAAAAATAAGAACCATTGCCCTGAGAATGAAAAACCTCCAGAATGTTTCATCTATCCATTAATATAATATTTATTGTCTGTTTGCCATGTCATGGGTGTGGGGAATCTAAGGATGAGACAGTCTGAACTTACAGTCTACTAGGAAAGATAAAACTCACATTCTACCCTTTAAGAGGGCAGAATGTGGTAATGTGGGGCTGTAATTCAAAATCAGGTCTTCTAAGGTCAAAGCCATGCTGCCAGTTACTAAATTGTTGTAAAAAAATAATCCTTTAAAGTAGCATAAAAATAAGGGGGAAAATGCAGGTACTGCAATAAGAAAAATAAGTTAATCAATGGATATAAATTCAATGTGCTATTACAAAATGACTAAATAATCATGAAAACATGGAAATATTTTATTTCTTAGTGTGGAGAATGCATGTTGTAAACTAATTTCAAACTAAAATCAAATGTAAAAATAAATTTAAAAAATTAAAAGGGCCTTTGGGGTCCAGATTGTGGTTTTTAAATACCATTTCTCAGCAAAAGAAACAACATTACTTGGAGGAGTGGCTGATCCCAGATGTGGAGCAAGAAATCAACAAGTTAGCCACATAGCAAGGAACCTCATGAAACACCTAGAGCACAAGTGGCAAACATAAGGCCATGGACCAAATCTGGCCCTCCATTTTGCTTTATCCGGCCCAGCACCTTGTTTCTACCCAGCAGCAGCGCCAAGCTCCTTGCCCTTGGTTAAGGAGTAGTTACATTTATATAGTCCTGAAATCACATTTGGCCTTTTGAAAGCAACCACAAGGCTGATGGGGCCCCCGGTGAAAATGAGTTTGACACCCCTGACCTAGAGCCACTCTCTGTAAGCTATGATATCATATGGCTTCTTTTTTGTGAAAGAAGGTCAACAGGCACATCTAACTCCAATCAGCCTGTAGCTTCTATGCAGGAGGTCTGCAGAGTAGAAGGGTCAATCCTGCTTCTGCTGGAGATAGCTGGCCTCTCCCAGTCCCATCTACCCACCACCCACCAAATGCTGCTATTAGGTGCACCAACTACTACTTTTGCTTTAGTAATTCCTGTCCCCTAGATGTCTCAGAAAACTCTACTTGCATTAACTACCATATGCAGTAAGTGTGCCTATGAGAAAGACTTTCAAACCTATCCACCAGAAATTATCTATTCAGAGGCATAGTTCCCTACCAAAATGAGCTGTACTTTTATCCAGCAACAGGGAAGCAGAGTCTATCCATAGTCAATGGGTGAGCTAAACAAGAACACAGGTCCGGTTGTTTTAGAGTAATGGCTTGTTCTCAGCCAGTATGGTGTTATTTAGCTTCAGAACTCACTTAATTAATCAAATCTGACAGCAAAGTATGGAAATTAACTACCCCTATGGAAACCAAAAATAATAAGATGAGTTCAGAGGCAACGTTCCCACTCCACAAAAAAAAAAGTTCCAGAAATGGTCTGTATAATGGCAGAGCCCTGGGAGTGAGTGGGAGACTTCCCGAGTAACTTTCACTTAATAGGATGCTCTCCCTGGGAGGTCAAGTCCAGCCAGTTTGGTATTAGCCCACTCCGCCACTTCTCATGGGAACTTACCTGAATACAAGCTCCTGTCTTCACTTTGCACAGGTAGCAGACTAAGGCCCACCGACTGGGCGGGATGTGAGAGATCTTTGTGATTGGTTCCATCCTCTCAGGACAACCAATGCTGACCTACAAATAAAATATCACCATAAGGCAGAGACACCAAGGCATTCCGGAAGTACCTCTCACAAATCATAAATGAAGTTATATGAAGCACAGAACATCAACACAATGAGGTGAACCATGTTTCCTAAGGTTACTATGGAACCAAGAATAACTTAAACTCATCTCTAGTTATTGCTCAGATCCTCAATCTTCTCCCGTAATGTAAATGATTCATATACAGGATGAAAGGGTAGGGGGTTAAGACTAAGCATTATTACCTTAATGAATCAAGGACATCTATACTTTACTTAGGAAACAAAGAAAGCTACTAAGGAAGATAATTAAAATTAAGAAAATCCAGTGCCTATCATGTTAGAGATGGTGCCATATGTCTTGTGTTTGTTTGTTTGTTTAATTAATTAAGAATAAAAAAAGGGCAGCGAAAAGCCTCTAAGTTTGGTTTACAAAGAAGCATGGTATTGTTGCAAAATAGCAGCAATTTGTATAATGAAGAGATTGCAGCACATAAATAGAAAGGATAAAGATAAGAAAGTCTTTAAAAACACATATCTATCATCAGCTTACTTTACTCTCTCAGTCAAAAGTAGCATCAAAGTGGAATTGTCTTTGGGAGAGTGCTGAAAGGAAAAGGATGTGTTTTAAAAGATGAAAAATTTTTTCCATATGAAAATAAGAGGCGAAGTATAAAACTCTGGTAAAAAGTGTTTTCTCTTTGCTCCTCTTTTTTCCAAAAGTTTAAATATGTACATAGTATCTAAGAGAGACACAACTTTAAAAAGTGGAAGACTATTGAACAAGGATGCTTAAACCAGTACAAGTTCTGCCCACATCAAGAAACAGGAGAAAGATCAAAGAGGTCTTGAATAGCCCAAAAGGGACTGAAAACCAGGTATCAGAAACCAAAGACAATGTCAACAGGTGAGAAGGCTTCTTTTACCTTTAAAGAACTCTTCCTGAGTCATGTTCCAGACTTTTACATACCAAGAGTACCTGCTCTACTTTGCTGCTGGAAAATAGTCACTCTCAGACAGAAACCTGAGAGTTCATTTCACATGTCTATAAATTGGATACTCTTAGTAGGAAAAAACACACTACTCCCATATTTTTTAAAATAACTTCTATTCTGTAAGAATACTATGGTATGTATGTACAACTTCCAGTTTAACTCTGTGAGCTCAATTGTTGGGTAACTCCCCCTGGAACTACATTAACAGGGGGACTTCTGGCCCAGATGGAGGTGTAGGTAAATACAACATTCCACTTCCTAGCACAACCAAAAGAAGGATAACAACCAATTTAAAATAAAAAAATAACCAGAACGGCCAGAAAATCGAACTGTATAGAAGTCTGTCAACCAAGGAGTTAAAGAAGAAACATTCACACAGACTGGTAGGAGAGGTGGAGAGGATCTGTAGTGAGGCAGTGGCTGGGGGACTGGGCAGTCCCCACATCCATGTGCAGACAAACCAGGAGGAACAACTTGGGAGCAAGACAGATGGCATAACCCAGGGTTCCTTCCAGCAAGGGCAAAATAAAGCCTCACAACTTACTGTAAAGACCTGTGGGGGTTTCAGCAGAAGTAGAAACTGTCAGTCTCATGACAGAATCCATTGGAGAGGCCCCAGGGTCCTAGAATGTACACAAGCCCACCTACCTGGGAATCAGCACCAAGGAAGCACCTAGAAAGGCACAATTGCTTATGGGAAGTGGGGGAAGTGACTGAAAGCAGAGCAAGAACCAAGCAAGTGGCACTGTTCTCTCTCTGAGCCCTCCCCCCACATACAGCCATAATGCAGTAGAGTGGGTTGCCCCACTCTGGCAAATACCTAAGGCTCTGCCCCTTATAACATAATAGGTGCACTGAAACAAAGAAATATGGCCCAAATGAAAGAATATATTAAAGCTCCAGAAAAAGAATTAAGTGATGAGGAGATAGCCAATCTATCAGGCACAGAGTTCAAAACACTAGTAATCAGGATGCTCATAGAAATGATGGAGTATGGCCACAAAATAAAGAAAGAAGTAAAGGCTATACAAAGTGAAATAAAGAAAAACATACAGGAATCAACAGTAAAGGGAAGGAAGCTGGGACTCAAATAAACAATTTAGATCAAAAGAAAGAAATAAACACTCAACCAGAACACAACTCAAAAAAAATGAGGAAAGGCTTAGGAACCTCTGGGACAACTTTAAACATTTCAACATTCAAGTCATAGTGGTACCAGAAGGAGAAGAACAAGAAACTGAAGACTTATTTGAACAAATAATGAAAGAAAACTTCCCCAATTTGGTGAAGGAAATAGACATGTAAGTCCAGGAAGCTCAGACAATCCAAACAAGTTGAACCCAAAAAGGAACACACCAAGACACATCATAATTAAATTGCAAAAGATTAAAGATAATGAGAGAATCTTAAAAGCAGCAAGAGAAAAGGAGGCAGTTACCTAAAAAGGGGCGCTTGTAAGACTATCAGTTGATTTCTCAAAAGAAACCTCGCAGGCAAAAAGGGGCTGAAAGAAGTATTCATGAAAGTCATAAAAAGCAAGGACCTACATCCAAGATGACTCTATCCAGCGAAGCTATCATTTAGAATGGAAGGCAGATAAAGTACTTCCCAGATAAGATCAAGTTTAAGGAGTTCATCCTCACCAAGACCTTATTACAAGAAATGTTAAAGGGACTTGTGTAAGAAAAATAAGATGACTACTTTAATGAAATAAAACTTTTTTTCTGTAAGAAAAGTTTAATTGAGTGGGAAAACATATAATAGTTGTAGATAACTATGATTAGAAAAACCTGTTATTTGGACCATGGGATCACAATAAAGACATAATTTTTCATTAGAAAAGGAAAAAGATGATCAAAACTATGAACATTAAAATGACAACAAACACAAGTATCAGCAACTGAATCTAAAAACAAACTAAGCAAACAATTAGAATAGGAACAGAATCACAGAAATGGAGATCACATGGAGGGTTATCTGCAGAGATGGGGAGGGGGAGAATGGGGGAAAAGGTACAGGGAATAAGAAGCATAAAATGATAGGTACAAAATAGAGAAGGGGATAGTTAAGAATAGGAAATGGAGAAGCCAAATAACTTATATGTATGACCCAGGGACATGAACTAAGGGCGGGAATGCTGGAGGGAATAGGGATTCCAGGTGGAGGGGGATAAAGGGAAGGAAAAAATGGGAGAACTGTAATAGCATAATCAATAAAATATACTTAAAAAGAATAAAGCCAGGGAAGTTTTAAAGGAGGATGAATCATTGCTATAGTATCATTAGCTACCCCATGAACTGAATTCTGCAGTCTATCTTGTCCTACAGATAAACTGCCTGACAAATTTGTTGGCCTGGATAAAGGTTTGAGAAAGAGGATATGAGTGGGATGTTCAAACAGGTTAAAAAGAGAGCACCCATAAGAAGTAAGGAGAAGTTATGTCTAGAAGCCCCTTTTAATTGACTTTGTATGCATGTAACCCATCAGAAAAGATCAGACATTGAAAAACCAGATTAAATAATGAGGCATGGAGTTTGACTAAAGATCTTAAACAGATGTTGAGTCCAAGCTTTGAAAAAATTTTTCAAAAACCCAATGGTACCCATCACAATTGTGAGAACAGCTCTTGCTCACTTTATTTGTGATAGCTTAAAACTGGAAACAACTCAAATGTCCATAAAAGGAGAATGGATAAAAAAATCATGGTATAACCATACAATGAAATAGTACTAAGTAACAGAAAGGAATGAATGTTGATACATATGACAACACAGCGTTAGCCAGACAGAAAAAAAGAGCATACTATATAATTCTACTTATATGAAGTGTGAAAACAGACAAAACTAATATAGTAAGAGAAATAATTTTGGGGTAATAGGGACATAGAGAGGGCCTGGGAAGTGGGTTATGGTTACAGATGCACATGTGTAAAAATTCATGAAACCCTACACTTAAGGTTTGGTATTTTAAGGTAAGTTTTACCTTAAATAAACCTGTTCATACCCTGGCCTTTTGTGCCTCTCTTCTCATACATATTTATCCAATACCATTGGTAGTACCACTTATAAATTAATCATCATGGGCTTACATGATTACCTGCATCCAAGAAGGATATGAGGTAGCTCAAGTAGAAGCATTATCACCTTGGAAGCATGGGCAGGCATGAAATGTCTCCAAGAAGCCTGTCAGTCTGAATGTTGTGGAAAACAGATGCACTCTGGAGCAAATGACCTTACAGACCTAGATGAGTTCTTACCTCTGGAATCCACAGGGCACAGCTGACATGAGCCCATTTAGTCCCTGCCTTGGTGGACTTCATGGCTCCACCTTTCTTTGGACATAACATACATTGTGGATGAGCGCCCACAACACAGGGACGACACAACCAGCTGCCTTCTGGGACCTTGAGGATGCCATAGCAGGCCTGGAGACAGGAGGAGACAGGAGAATGGTTAGCACCTTCTCACCAGGGTCTATGTCTGCTCTCCGATACAGTCAAAAGTGCCCTCCCTTTTTTAGGAAAAAGAGGCAAATAAGGCCAAATAAACTCATATCCAGGATTTAATAATTTTTAAACTCTCAGGGGAAAAAAAAGCAACTTCTAGCATCTGTTCTAAGGTCAGCATGTCTTGTCAATGAGAACTGACTTTAAGGACAATAGAATAAGACTAGAAGGAAATACATGCAAAGGTCAGCCCAACTATTATCTGAGTTTGGGAATTCCATGGGGTCTTTTTTTGTCTCCATTTTCTAAAGTTTTGTCAATGACATAGTTATTCATATACTTAGTTATGAATAATTATTAGTTATTGAACAACTACATGTCAAGCAATACTGTGATCAAGAAAAAGGTATTAAAATAAATAGAATGAAACTTCTGAGGAGCAAATGAGCTGATGTTTAAAAAACATAACAGCGCCTAGTGCATAAACACTCTGCAAATTGTAGCAATTACTTCCTGGGGTTGAAGAAAAAGAATCCTGAGTTGAATATACTATTAGACTAATCACAATACTCTGTAATGAGTTCTGGAAGCTGCTTTAAATCCTTTAAGGAATGAAGTTGGACTAATAAATAGATGAATTACTGGGGGGAGGAGGGAGATTAGTTTGGACATTCTAGATTTCCCTTTCACTACTTCTAATTTTGTCCTTCGTTCCCCACTAACTGCTCTACTCTCACCATTAGGAGACCAAACCTGAGGGCCACCTGGCTTCCCATGTTGTCTGGCACACCTTCCAACAGTGACTGATTCACCATGGCAGCTTCAAAATCTGTGCCTGACCCAGAAGGTTCACCCACAGCTCAGATTCAAGTTACAACAGTTACCATCATGTCATCCCCTGCCACCCCAAATTGACACTTTTTCCAAACTCTTATCCCTATCACTACCATGCTTCCTAGCTTCCAGATCCAAATTCCTAGACTCATATTATTCACTTTCCTTCATCTACTGTTCCTGGATCTTGCTAGACCTCAGTACAGAGTAACCTCTGGATTCTGACCTTCCTCCCCATCCCAATCATAATTGCTCCATCCAAGTCCTCATCACGTCATGCCTAGATTGATTTATTTCCAAATTCTCTTCCTCCCTCTTCACACCTTAAATCCTTCCTCTATTTGTCTGCCATATTCTTACAAAAATAATGCTTTCATATCATTGCACAGCAACAACCCCTTTAGAAATTCCTTCTGCTATTACCACCATCCCCACTTAAACCAGAGTTGGCAAACTACTCTAGGCCACCAAGCTGAGAACAGTTTTCCATATTTTTAAAGAAATTTTGAAAAATATGTAACAGGGACTACATGTGGACCTCAAAGTCTAAAATATTTACTATCTGGCCCTTCAAGAAAACATTTGTTGGCTCTTGATCTAAAGTCTGCTGCTCTTTACTTCGCTTCTCAGGATCACTGTTAACTCCTGGTGTCTGCTCCACTTCTTGATCCCTGCCCTCTACTCAGCATAGTTTTCCTCACCAGGTACAGAGCCTGCATCGCATAGTCTTCTCTACTTCAGCAGTTGTGTTTCATATTCTCAGTGATATTTTAAGGTCACTGGAGGTAGGTCCTTTATCATCAATTTATCTGGAATGTTCTCTATGCAAACCGTAATTTAGCTCAAGAACTGAAGTTGGACTCCAATCAGGCTGCTCTCACCACAGCAGGGCATTGTTTTCTAGGGTTCTTAACTTTCAAAGCTACTCCCCCCCCTGAAGTCCAGAAAGATTGTTAGGAAATAAAAGCAAGCTCCCTTCCTTAAGCAGAGCCTGTTACAGACCAGCAGAAGAAAAACCAATGGCTGGTTCTAGGAATACCCTTTATTTCCTAGGGTAGAAAATCACTTACTAAGTCTTGTACAGACTTACTCATGGTCATAAGATCACAGAAGCTCTTATTTAATAGCAGTGGTTCTCAACTTTTTCTAGACCACAAATGATGAAGACTGTGGACTCTCCAGAGAAAATTGCACGCCTGCATGAACATATGTTTTGCATATAATTTCAGGGTCATAAACTCAGTGCCAAACATTATATACATGACAGGCATAAAAACAATGAACATATATCTTCAGTCAAATTGATTTGGGTATCGGTTTGAGTGTTGAATACCTGGAGTAAGGATCAGACAATGGAACATATAAAAGGACTCGGAATGATTTAAATTTTCATATTTTTTAATGAAAAAGTTTTAAGTTCACTGTTAAAATCTGAAGTCTATTGATGTAAACTTCTCTTTTAAAGTACTGACCATAAGTATGTGATAGGTACAGAAGAACAAACATTTGACATAATATGATGGCAGTAAAGAAGAAAAATGTTTACTATATACAAATATCATCAACATGTTGTTGATTCTGTTAAGGAGTAAACTAAATCTTCCAAATCATTTTAAGTCACTTTTCAGTCAACAGAGGGCACTCTAACCTAAGTAGCTCTTTAGAACTCAAGTATCTTCCCTTTGGAAGAATCTTTTTTATATGAAACTTTACATGGCACAGCATCCAGCATTAATACATACCAGCTTACATTCTGTAATGCCTGATCAGATGTTACTGCCACCTTATCTATGTGATGAAAGGGCATCATTTATAGTCATTACTGGATATGTTTTCAAAACAATAAAATACTCTTGAAGAGAATTATTATGCCACATTTCATTTTGTTAGTCAAAAACCTGAAAATAATTCCTTAATATTTTGTCCCAACTATGAGGTACAAATACAGAAACTATATACAGGTAACTTTTTAATTATCCCCTTCAAGCATACTATAGATCCATAATCAATTTATCTGAAAACCCTAAGGTGAGAAAATCAGAAAATTCAGGATTGTTCAGATCTTAGGAAAGTAATATAGTACATACATGGTTTATTAACTAACTCCCCAATGGGACCAGGGGCAGTACCATGTAATCAAATACAGTAACATTTCTCTAAAAATATGTGACTATACAAAATGGGATAAAGACTATAAATAGCCTTAAAAGGGGGGACTTCTACTATTGCCACCAAATCTGTTTTGATGCCAAACTTAGGCAAAAATATGCAGTTTTTCAGAGTTTTAAAAATTTGGCACCACAGAGAAGGGACTATGGACCTGTATGGTAACATATTTAAGTTCATACTTTTATGGTAAAGATTTTCTATCTTAGGGTGTAATATAAAGAATAGTAACTGGTAAAGTGAAGATAAATATTTGAAATTCAGACTTTCAAAACACAAGTAAAATGAAGAAAAAGACACAATTGGTCACAGAATAATTTTGAGTACCTTCTAACACAGAAGGTTAGGTTAGGTGACCCAGGTAATTAAAATAAACTCTTCAGCCCTGATTTTTCTCTATCGCCTGTTATGTAATCATTTTAGTCATTTTGTAGACAGAATCATCTAAAACACAAATCCTATCCTTCAGTGTTGACAGGACAAAACTGAAGTTTAGTTTGTGAGAGAAGGCCCTTCACATGTGTACCTTGTATCCCTATCTACCCTCACTCTCCATGCCTTTCCTGCTCCATCCACCACACTCCACAGTTCTGAACTGCTCATAGCTGCCTCAAACATGCTTTGCCCACTCTAACTCATCTAAAGACATCTCTTCTCTGCCTGAACATGTGCTGCTGTTTTATCTGGCATTTCCTTCTGGCCATTAAGATTCAGCTTGCATGCCACCGCCTGGAAGTGCTCCCTGACACCCATCCCTCCCATGCACTTCCACAGCAGCACAGACTTCTACGTACAAAAACACTTGGCATACTGTGCTAAATGGGCATTTTCCTTGTAGTTCCTACACCAGACTCTGGTCTCCCCGGGGGCAAAGACCACGTCCACCTCTTCATTACTTCTTGTGTCTTCAGTATGCAGAACAGTCCTGGTACATGGATGGGACTGCGTACCTATTTGCTAGATAAATTAATGAACCACACAAGTTCAGAAGAGTGAAAAATCACTTAGGGTAAGAAAGTTCAAGAACAGATTTGAACTAGATCTTGGAATAGATCTTGGATATAGATTTTTTGACAGCTGAAAGTGGAAGGCACTTTAAATTGTGGGGGAGTACCCAAAACATGGAGACAGCACAGTGACAGGAATACGGTGCTCCCTTGAGTCACCTTATTTCACTGTAGCAAAGGGCTTGTGAGGGAAGAAAAGGAAAAACTGAATAGAATATTGATATCATCATCATAATCATTAATTAAAAAGGCAGTGTGGTAGAAAGAATGACAGAGCTTGGGTAAAGTCATTTCCTACTTCTGATATTACCTACAAATTTGAGGAGTGGGAATAACTTCACAGTCCTAAGATTTTATGACCTTTAAAAGTGGGGTGGACCTAGCTTCCTGGGAATACCATATTTGGGAGATTGGGGAGGGCTCTGGGTGCAAGGATAAGAAGTCTGGATTTCCAGCTATACGAAATGTAAACTCACCAAGGTTACTGACCATGGGTGTAACCTGATGGATTTGAGGCAGAGGAGACTCCCATGCAGGCAGCAAGACTCCCCAGGGAACTGTAAAAGTATCTAACAAGGCAATTTCAATGGTCTGGGGATGAAGTGACAATAAAGACCTGGGTTTAGCTCTCTTGGGCAAATGTTGTAAGTCACCTTGGGATCCTAAGTATTGTTTCTAAAGGAATACTGAAGAATAGCCAGGCCAAATCTTTATTTTCCCCCTTAAATGCAAGTTGTTACCCTGATATGGATGCTGGAGATCATCACTGAGCTTCAGCAAGCCTGAACATGGGGAGGTGACAGTCTCCACTCTCACTAACCTGATGCACACAGATGTTACACTTATCACAGAATACCATATCATTCCCTTCTTCACTGTCTGGAGACCGGCACACATCACAGATCACATCTTCATCATACTCTATACCTAGCCCTTCCTCTGTCTCAATAGCATGGTTCATATTTTCATGGCATTGGCGTTCCAGAACTTCTACTGTCTTTTCCATAAGATTCTCATCAACTGGCTCACAACCTGCACAGAAATACAAACAATCAATCAACCCATCGGTCAGCTGTCATTCCCGAATTACCTACTGTGAGCCCAGTGCAGGGATGAGGAGATTTCAAAGAATCAGTTACTAGAGCTATTCTAATATTTATATAGTGTTTCACACATGAAGTAAAAATATATTTCACCATATTTCTTGTAAGACATATTACTGACCCTTTAAATTTTCTGTCTAAATCCTAGCCAGTCTCCTCTTTGTGTTTTCTCTTATTCCCACTGAGGGAGGACTTTTAGTGAGGTTTGTAATTTTGAACACTTCAACTTACAGTATAATAAAATAATTAGAATAACATAACTATGTGGATACAAATAATAATACAGTCTTAGCAAATTAGTCTCAATGAGCACATCTAATGGCTATACAAGGACATTTTCATACAAAAAGGTATTAAGTCATAAAAGAAAATACTAGGTATTGTACATGTAATTATACATACAAAATATTTTGTTTTTCAACCTTGATGTTTAAAAAAATCCAATAGTATTTTTCAGTGTCAAATTCCAACATGAAATAAACTTATCAGCATTTACATAGGTCTAACTGCAAATTCTGAAGTTACTTTTCTTGCCTCTTGATTTCTTTTCCTTCTGTACTTTTAATTTTTCTTAGTCTTTCATATTTAATAGCCCAATATAAAGATTCACATGGTAGATACTGATAAAAACTAAATATGTTTCTGCTTGGAAGGATCATATTCATATATATATACATACACACATATACGTTTATATGTATACGATCACATTATATATGTATATTTTTTCAAACACCTTGTAAATTCAGAATCAATTCTCAGAATAATCCAAAACAAATTTACCCAAGTAAGATAAAATTACACATAAACTACCTTTTTCATGTTGCAGCTATTTATAAATTAAAAAACCACCCAGGCAGTATGTTTCATTTTTCCACTTATAAACCACACATTTTTTTTCTGGAATGAAGGAGTATTAGTGTCTGATTATAAAAGTAGTTGAATTTGAATTCCAGCTTGATCTCATATTGGTCATATAAACTTTGACATGTTATTTATCCTTTTTAGGGCTTAGTTTTCTTATCTGTAAAATAGGATAATACCAAACTCACTGATTTCTTGTGAGGCCGAGATGAGATAATATTTACACATTGCTTAGTATAGTGCCTGGTATGTAGCAAGTGCTCAATTTTTAAAGTTCCTTAATCCCAGTAAAAAATGCGCTTAATTTACTGTTGTTTTTAAAAGTTTATTTTAAGCTCTTAGAAACCTCACTACAGTATCATTCATCCTAAAGGAATGCTTGAGATAAGGCAATCATCTTTTAAAACTCATCCATGCCTAAATGCAGTGTGGTATCCTGGATGGAATCCTGGAACAGAAAAAGGCCATTAGTAAAAAAACAAGAATAAACAAAACTCTGATGGAATCCCAATAAAGCCTGGAATTTTGTTAATAGTAATGTACCTGTGTTGGTTTCTTAGCTTTGACAAATGTACCATGGTAAAGTGAGATGTTAACATTAGGGGGAACTGAAACTGTGTGAAGGGTATATGGTTACTGTATTAAATGTGCAACTTTTCTGTAAATATGGAACTATTTCCAAATAAAAAAAATTTAAAAACTCATCCAAAAGGAATTAGCTGCAAAATACCAAAGGGACCTAGTTATAAGGTGATGTCATGTCAAAGGCAGCAATGTAATGACTGTAATGTATATGGATGTTATATGGTTCACAAACACCACATGTCAAGCCATCAATCTACTTGATTATGCCCCCACACTGATTTTCCCTCTCTGCCAGTCTTTTATTCTCCTATCTTTGTGGTTCCCAACCTAAATTGAATTGCCTTCCTCTTAGAGGGCAGAGCAAGAGAAGACATAAAACAAAAAGTTTCAAGAAGCAAGGAGTAAATGTTGGTTACTAGCAGAATAAGTACTACCATTATGCCAAACTGGATTTAATACAATTTTAACTTTTTGTTCACATGCATTCAGATACCAACCTTAAAAGAAAGAGAAGGGAGGGGAGAAAAGTACAACACTGATTCTTGTACTAACAATGAACAAATGTGATTCAAACAAAAATGAAATCAAATGTATCCCTTCACTGTATCTCATATTAAAAACCACCCACTGTTCCACAGGACCACTTGGACCTAAACACTGCTCAGACTGAAGACAGGTCATAAAGAGTTTTGTATAAATATTATAAAGTGAGTTTCCTTTCAGCCTAGGATTTTATAGTACTGTACAGTACACATTCTCTTTAAAAATTATTTTTATGCTTACTCCCAAGTTTTTTGCTTCATTTTATTTTATTTTTGAGAATTGCATGGCAACTCTGGAATTCAATAAAGGTAGCTAACAACTGCTTTTGGATATTTTTGCCCTAGCATGCCATTCTTATTCTGAGCAGCAAAATTGTAAGTTCTGTATAAGGTGTCCTGGTCACACCAACCTGTCAGTTGTAGTGCTGTCTAATGCTGAAGTTGGAACTTCTCTCCATTAGAACAAGATGGTGGATGTGCCACTACCCTTGGCTTTGTTCACTGATGAAAGCCAAGAGTGCTTTTCAGGGCTGAGTGAGGAACCAGTTTCAGAATTTTTCTCAACCAGAAATCCAATCAGCTATAATCGCTCACATTCAGAACTGGGAAACAGCGTTGTGAAACCTACATGCTATCCCTGACCTGTGCTATTCACCATGAACAAGGGAAGAAAAAGTCCAATTTAAATGTTACTGCTCTATTTCAATATATTTATGCATTTTGATATATGCCTTATTAAAATAAATCAAAGAAAGAAATAAACAAAAAGACCAGAAAAGAAAGGAAGCCACAAGATGAAAGCAAGTTCAATGGTTGGATGACTTAAAAGAAAAATAAAATCACATGTCGAGTCAAGAAACAACTTACTTGTGAGAAAACAACTTACCCATTTCTGCAAGGTCTTCATTGAGTTCCTGGAGCCAGAAGATATCCATGTCATCTAGGTCATAGCGGCACACAGATGCCGCCTGCTCCTTGATGTTGACATAGCCAGGCTCTGTGGTCTCTGCGACAGAGGACTGGATATACTTCCGGGGCCGGGTATATAGAACTTCCTTTACCTTCTCAGCTACAATCCTAGAAAAGCAAAAGAAAGACACTAAATAACAATCAACAGATGACAGATTGTAGGTACTGACTGAATGGGCCCAATGACACTCAGGCCATACAGTGGAGTTGAATGCTCTTTCTACCCTGTGGAAACGTCCTGCTCTGCAAACTGGGAAGTACGGCAGATCCTTTTCCAGAAAGCAAATGGTTCTACAAATTCAGTTTTGTTTTTTTTTAAAGATTAACTTTTTAAAAAATATTTTATTTATTTATCTTTAGAGGGAAAGGGAATGAGAGAGGGAGAGAAACATCAATGTATGGTTGCCTCTCGTGCGTCCCCTGCTGGGAACTGGCCGGCAACCCAGGGATGTGCCCTGACTGGGAATTGAACCGCAATTCTCTGGTTTGCAGGCCTGTGCTCAATCCACTGAGCTACACCAGCCAGGGCTACAAATTCAGTTTTGTTAAGTCCTCCGAACACTGGCTGCTGATGAGGTTTTTTGTTTTGTTTTGTGATTAATCCCTCTACCTTTTTCACCCAGTCCTGCAACCCCTTTCCCCTGGGCAGCTGTCAGTCTGTTTTTTGTATCTATGAGTCTGTTTATATTTTGTTCATTAGATTCCACGAGTGAAATCATATGGTAGTTGTCCTTCTCTGACTGGCTTATTTCACTTAGCATAATATCCTCCAGGTGGTGCATTACAAAACTGTACACCTGAAACATATATAATTTTATTAACCAATGTCATCCCAGGAAGTTCAATAAAAATATCATTGTTGTATTTCTTCTTGTCTTCACTATTTATGTAGATGAGTGAAAGCCAAGAGTCCACAGACTTACACAAACTTAAGGCATTTCCCAATCATAAATGATAGCAATCGTAAGTCTGGGCCAGGGCTACATGATGGGAGGAAAGATTCCTGTTCTTCCATCAACTTCTCCAGTAGGCCAGAGAAAACCCAGATTTCCCCTTACCTTTTTAGACACTTAAGAGCCCAAGGCAAGGAAATCAAGCAAGGGGAGAAGTAGAAGTTTCTCATACCAATGACCTAGTCTACAACTGATGTTTTAGGCACTGCATTATGCATCGGAAAATATAACCAAGAGGAAATCTGTATTATTATTCCCTGGCAATTTTAAAGAACAGGGTGGGCCATCTAAAAAAGAGAAAAAATATATATCTCATCATAAAATAATGAAAATCGTTTCTCTAGAAGGCTTCTAAAGCCAATTTCTTTACTCTAGAGCAGTGATTTTCAGTCAGTGTGCTGCGGCACACTGGTGTGCCACAAAAATTTTTAAAACATGTAGTACCTGACTAGTCAGAGACATGAACCTCTTTTTCTGAGACTGTGAAATAAAAAATTACAATGGCCAACACAACAATAGCCATCTGGTGTCAATGAATAAAAAACATTTTTTGTCAGACCAACAAAAAATATATTTTTTTGGTATGCCTGGAGAATATTAATAATTGGTTTATGTGTGTCACAAGATGAAAAATGTTGAAAATTGTTACTCTAGAGCTGCTATACAAATGGAAGTATTCATAAACATAAATATACTCATATGAATACATATAAATAATATAAGGGGGCCCCCCAAAACCAGAATTTACTTATAAAAATTATGTATTTATTCTTACATGTTTAAACGTCAGTCACCTTCCAAGTACTCTCCATTTGATGCAATACACCTATTGAGACTTTTTTCCCACTGCTCAAAACAGTTTTTGAATTCACCAATTTCGATGCCTTTTAGTGCTTCTGATGTTTTTTGTTTCATTTCTTCCACACTGGCAAAACATTTCCCTTTTAGGATGATTTTCATCCAGAAAAACAAACAAAAAAAAATAGCTTGGGGAGAGACTGGGTGAATATGGAGGATAGGGCTTGGGGGGCTCATGCCATTTTTGGTCAAAAACTGCTGAACACTCAGTGCAGCGTGGGCTGGTGCACTTGTAAACCACCCATCATGAAATGGGCAAACAAGCTGAATCTTCAAAAAAAATCCACTGAAGCTGAATGCAGCCTCACAACAACGCCAGCTGTACACTGATACAGGTGGGTTCCTAGAACACTCACCTAGCAGGGCAAGCCTGTACTGTAAGGATCCCGCTGTCCAGAAGTTAATTCTGATTTTGGGGGGCCCTCCCTCGTACAGAGACCAAATCTGCTCTGTAAATACATTTATAGAGTAAATATTTCCTCCTAACCATATGCTTTCAAAAGTGTATGGTTCCACTTATATATGATGAATAAACTTAGTAACTATACACATTTGTACATGTTAATTTTTCTATCATATGGAGTTTTTAAAGCCAAAGGCAACAAATACTTGAGGAAAAAGCAGAACCCTAAAATATTAATTGAAGCTAAAACTTTGGGAACTGCTGTCAGAGGCTTGCTTCCAACTGAAATTAACCCAGATGAAAGAACAAGACATGTGTATGAATTATCCAGAGACTATGAGACTAAATATGCTGTGCTTTTTAGGTGCATGGCATGTGAGGTAATTATAGAATACCCATTTCAAGATTTGTCTTCTTCTAGAAGGGAGAATATTTGATAACTATTCATCTCAATTGCCTCACATTCTATGTGGAACAAGAGAGATTATAAATGTTTTTAGTTAAACTAGTATGTTTATTAAGTTTTTAGAAGAAAACAAAGAGGAATATCTTTATACACTTGGGATAGGCAAAGATACTTTAAATAAGATAAAAGATATTAACCATAAAGAAGAGAGTGAAAAACTTCTGTTTATCAACTATACAGGGTGGGGAAAAACAGGTTTACAGCTGTCTATATAGAAAATATTACAATAATTAATAAATAATACAAGAATAAGCCCTGGTGTGTCTCAGTGGATAGAGTGCCAGCCTGAGAACCAAAGGGTTGCCAGTTTCATTCCTGGTCAGGACACTTGCCTGGGTTGTGGGCCAGGTCCCCAGTAGTGGGCACTTGAGAGGCAACCACACATTGATGTTTCTCTCCCTCTCTTTCTCCCTCCCATCCCCTCTCTAAAAGTAAATAAAATCTTTAAAAAACACTGTAAACTTACTTTTGCCTCTCCCTATATATAACGAACTCCTACAAATCAATTAGTAAAAGACAACCCCATTAAAAACTGAGCAAAAAAACCTGAATAGATGCTTGACAAATAAAGCTATCCAGATGGTAAGAAAGCTTTTAGAAGGTTCTCAGCCTCATTAGTTATTACAGAAATGCACACTGAAATTCAATCATTGTTATCTACCAGAATGACTGAACTTGAAGACTGACCAAATATTAACAATACTAAGTATTCATAAGGAAGTGGAGCAGACCTCTCATACACTGCTGATGGGAGTGTGGGTGAATTGGGACAACCACTTTAGCAAACTATTTGGCAGCTGATATTACAGATGAACACACACATACCTTATGAGCTAGCAAACCTGTTCCTAGAAATGTACTTAACAAAAAGTACACATGTCTAATAAAAGATGAATAAAAATGTCCATATTAGCATTTTTCATAATAACTGAAAACTGGAAGCAACTCACATATCATGAGCAGAATGGATAAAGAAAATATGGTATATTCACACAATGGAATATGTCACAGAAATGAAAATTAATGATCTACTACATGCAATAACATGGATGAATCTCACAACCACAATGATGAACAATATGAAGTTAAAAAACTGGCAAAATGATCACCTATAGTGATGGAGGTCCAGTAGGCAGGAACAGAGGGAGGGATTCTAGGGTATTGGTAATGTTCTATTTCTTGATTTGGGTGGCAGTTAAATGAGTATATTTAATTCAAGAAAATTCATTGACTTATACAGTTATATTTTGGTTACTTTTATGTTTATATATTATACTTCAATGAAAAATTTATAGTAATGATAACAGTGATGTTATCTCACTTATTTTTTTCATATGTGTATTTTCATATGTAACTAAAAAGGTCTGAATCTCAGGACTGAGTCTATTACAATAAAAAGATCACAGATTGAAACAGGAACACCTAAGGCAAGGAAATGCATGGGTAAAAAGTAAAGTTAATATATAGTCACAAGGAGAAATTCTTGTATTTATAGTTATAGAGGAGAAGGTCTGTAAGAATTAATGAAAAAAATTACTTTGGAGTTTTAAAAATGGAGCTTTAATGGCAAGTACACATAACATTGCTACAGCTGGAGGAAATTTGAAAATTATCTCTGGGTGATTTTCTTCTCTCTGTATACTAGGTTCTAGAGACACTCTTTGAATGGTCACCAGACCACTGCAAATCAGCAAAAGCTTGCAAGCCTAGAGGTATGACCAATTTTGTCAGAATGATGTAGTAAGTGCAGTTTTCAATTTGGATGCTTAGTAACTTTCTGGATGACTGAACTTTGGTGAAAGGACATGCAACCACACATGCTTAGTCCTATAGAAAGAAGGTCTATCCACTTGCTGCTCTGGAGGATAGACCAGCTACCTGCTACCTCAGGCCTACGTGAACACTGCTGTGATACTGAGGAGGCAAGAAAAGAAAGCCGAGATCACTTTAACCTGATGTATGGCCTCTTCTGGTGGGTGTCTTATGCACAGTGAGACCTCAGAGTGGCTTTAGTTGATATAAATATTGGTACTTAAGAGACTATGCATTTCCTAATGAGCAGATTAGAATCATTTGTGAACAGCACAGATATTGCACAAATACCGTAACACCATGGATTTTTAAAAGGCTGGAAATAAATGTCTCAAAAGCTAACTAAATAGAAGCTCCTTGCAGTAGTATCTCTAGGACTAGTTTCCCAAGATGCCCCTTGTTAATCTTGCCACTCTGGGCTGACTGCTTTTCTACCAGACTTCATGCCTCATCTACAAAACAGGACAATTATAACCTCTGTGACAGCTATTTTCAAAATCCCACATGCTCTTCTACAATGTGACTTTGCCACCCCTGCATCAAGTGGTAAATTCTATTTGCCACTCCTCTTGAATCAGAGAGGGCTCGTGACTATTTTCACCAATAGAATATGGCA